AAATCACCAAGATTGGGAAAAGGACTGGGAAGATAAAATTTTGATTTAGGGTAGTGTGGGGGAGGTCTTATATTGCAAGGGAGACTAGAAGGATACCATTTTACTCTTGACTCTCTCACTTTCAGACTGTAGGTTCCAACAGGACTTAGAGCAACTTGAAGGGAAACAGAACATCGCAAGCGGAATTTTATCTTTCACATTAAGGTCAAATATAAAATTCAGTTAAAACCACGTTAAAATCTGTATTATAAAGAAAAGCCATCAAGCATCAAGGGAAACAGAGAAGAACCATAAAATAGAAAGTATAACATGATATGGCAGAGATAAGCCCAACTATTAGTTATAACATTAAATGGAAATGGGAAAAACATCACTAATATTAGATTAAAAAAAAAAAACCCAACGTGATCATTACTAGAGGAATACATAATACAAAATGATACAGAAAGTTTAAATGTAAAAGGATGGACAAATTTCATTAATCACTTACAAATAGAAAGAGAGCAGATGATATCAAATAAAGCAAAAATGTATTAAATGAACAAAGAGGGTCATTTTTATAATAATCAAAAGCAAACAGAATTATTAGGAACTCTTCAGTGATAAATCTCATTGTTTCAGGATATACGGAATACAACCTAAATGTCCCAGTAGAAGCATGGCCAAATGTATCAAGGTATATCTGTGTGGTGGCCTTATATGTAGTGATTCAGAGCCATGATACGGATGTTCCTTTGTTCACAAAGAAGGCTGTTACTAATATACTGTTGGTTGAAGAAAGCGTACTGCAGATAGAGTGGGTATTCTTTTCCCACTTTGGTAAAGTAGAATCAAATGTTAACTGGGGTTATTTCTAGGTGATGAAATGACTCTAATTTAAATATTTTCATATGAGCTTTTAATCTTTTCCTAAGGTGAATATAGTAGATTATTGCCCCTAAGTATTCGTTGCCTTATATTGGATGCGTGGTACTTTCATGCATCATCAACCTCCATTTGGCCTGCTTTGGCCAATGACATGTGAGTGAAAGTGACATGTGCCACTTACAAGCAAACACTTTAAGAACTATCTCATGGTGGGCACCTGGGTGGCTCAGTTGTTAAGCGTCTGCCTTCGGCCCAGGTCATGATCCCAGGGTCCTGGAATTGAGTCCCGCATCGGGCTCCCTGCTCGGCAGGAAGCCTGCTTCTCCCTCTCCCATTCCCCCTGCTTGTGTTCCTGCTCTCACAGTGTCTCTCTCTGTCAAATAAATAAATAAAATCTTAAAAAAAAAAAAAAGAACTATCTCATGGTGCCCCATGGCTGTTTTCCCTCGTTACCTGGGAGTTACTCTTAAAACCTGGAATGAAGAGGTTATAGAGTAGGGGTGCAGCTGACCTCTAAAGGACATGTAAATGAGACATGTAATAAAGCTTTCTTGTAAGCCCTTGACATTGGGGGTTATGTATTACCATGTCACAACTTAGCCCAGCCTACATAGTCGAGTTTCAGATGTTTTCATCAGAGTTCAATTTCAGATGAACACATGCGATTTATGAAGCCTATGAACAGCAGCTTCTAGAAGTCTTCCTGGCCACCTCATGCTTTAGTTAGGTCTCTGGGTCATAAATCTGAATTTTATGTCACTCAGTGTAAATGCAAATGTTAGAGCACTTTCTAAAACAATTGTAGTGATACCACTGATATGAACGGGGAAGGAGACAAGAAAATTAGAGTTCAGCTCTTGTATTGCTGTTATTTTCAGCAACAATATCTTTCTCATTGAGTATAGGAATTATGTTGGTGTTGACTTTAAAATCTATGGTATTTCAAAATAAAATCCTTGGCTTAGGATTTTGTTTAGGCAATTTATGAACATGTGCTTTGATAGAGATGAAATAATTATTTTTAATGTCACACTAATTCTTACACTCTAAAAGTAAAGACTAGGTGTAACCTACTAACAGAATTTAGACTTACTTTCTTAATGCACTTTGAAATAGAACAGGTGATCAAACACTTGACTGATAATCAGATTGGAATAATCTTTAAAGGTCATCCTATTTAACTTTAGGTACTTGAAATCCTTAAAAAAATTCAGAAATTAATAGAAACAACAATAATGTCAAAAATGATTCTTAGACTGAATTAAATCTTCTTAATTGTCTTTTTTTATTCATATTATTCAAGATATTCATAATTATCATTCAACCAAAATGTTGCCCTTTCACTGTAGACAAGTGACCCTGAAAATGTCATTTTAAATTAAAACAAGAACCAAGGTGTTAGCATTGATGTTAATGGGGAAAGTGCAGTTGGGAGTTGGGTGCAGTTAAGAAAAAAAAGTTCAAAAGAGGAAATGTTGGCTCTTGATGTAGTGTGGATTGAATTTACTTCCAAATGGGTAATAGTCTAATAGGTTTGACTGTTTCAACCTCATTCCTTGGGGGCACTTGAACACATCACAGAACCTCCATACTCTTAGCTCAAAGTGTCAGCATCTTGTACAATGTCTTGGACCAGAAAGTACTTCAGATCAAGGACCTGAGCAGTGTTCTTGCTTTCTGTTTGCTGGCATCAGAGCTTGGCTTGAAAAATTTTATTCACACTTACTTTTTTTTTTAAAAAGATTTTATTTATTTATTTGACAGAGAGAGAGAGAGCATAAGCAGGGGAGGGGCAGAGGGAGAAGCAGGCTCCCCACTGAGCAGGGAGCCCAATGCGGGGCTTGATCCCAGGACCCTGAGATCATGACCTGAGCTGAAGGCAGACGCTTAACTGACTGAGCCACCCAGGTGCCCCTTTACTCACACTTATTAGACTCCCTTCAAATAATAAAAGAATTAGATGATCGTCTATCAAATGTTGGCTTCTTACTGCCTTTTGACAATACTAAGTGGAACCTGATTTCCACCCCGTGAAAGAGCACTGCAGCTCTTTATGTTTCTATTAACCCGAAGACCAGTTTCGTTTCAAGAGAAAACTTTCCAGTTTTGGGGCTAAGTGGTGGTGACAATGAAGTTGAAATCTTAAGAAAGGATTACAAGTTTTATTCACTAGAGAGTCCAGTTTTCCCAATTTATAGTAATTTGCCTTTTAATTATTGGGACTGTTATTTTGAATATTCTCTATAGCTAGGTGACCATTAAAATCCTGATTAACTCATTTAGGGTCATACAACCCATTAACATAATGTTGCATATTTAGATAATACAACTCTTTCAGACTTGTATAAAATTTACTTGCACTTGCAGAGTTTACATGATCTGTACGTAAATCATGCAATACATTTATATTAGTAACATAACCTATTAAACATTTGTCTACAGCCTAAATTTCTCTGAGCTCTGGAACTACATTTCCAAGCATTCGTCACCATTTGAATGCCTCAGTTATACCTGAAATTCAATGGGTCCAAACCATACTCAGAACTTTCTGTCAATCCTGGATTTCTTTTGGGCAGCCCTCGCTCAGAATACCAGAAACCCAGGAGGCTTCCTCAACCCTCCCTTCTCCTCTGCCCCACCCTGTTCCTCCATATCCTGTTACAGCTGCCAAGACTGGATGCCGAATTTCCTGCCACCTCTCTAACCCATCATTTCTTGCTTCCTGATTGGGCCTCCCTCACCTTCTTTATTTCCCCAATTTGGTTCTCCCCATGTCTGTCAAAGTATCCTTTTAAACACACAAATCTGGTTAGACCACACTTTATGGCTTCTTGTACTTGTGATAAAAATCGAGATGCTAAACATGGCTGACAAGGCCCTGTGGGGACTGGCCTCTGCCTCTCTCTGACCCATCATGCTGCTCTCATCATGATGGCCAGCACTAATTCCTTGATCGTGTCAGGCCTGACACCCAAGCACCTGGTTAACTCCCACTCATCCTTCAGACCTCAGCTCAAGCCCACTTGATCAGGGATACCTCTGACCTCCAAATCCAGTGAGTACCTCTCGCCATGTATCTTCCTCCATCTTTATTCTTTTTTGATTTTTTTATTGACCATCTTTTCCTCTGGACTGAATTTCAGGTCTCACTTTTCTTTAGCTTTAAGATTGCTTTCTGATCATTGCCTGGAACTTTTTCTTCCGAACGGTGCTGTAGTACTTACCCAAGTGTCCTTTGCTTCCTTCAAGGAGTATTATCATTAAGATGGGGGCTAGGATTTGGTCTTCTGTCTTCTTGGAAAAGGAAACTGGTCAGTCTTGTGGGTCACAGATTATTGGGTAAGCTTCTCATCTTACACTATCATGCTTACCTTTAAAAAAAACTTTTTCTGGCAACCTGTGTTGCCAGTTGAACAATACTTCTCTCAGGCACAAGTTTTTGGTCCTAGTACTTACAATGCAGGCTTTCCTTACATGAATCCAAGTGAAAAATGAAGTGGCTCTTCACTGTAGCTGAATGAAGCAATTCTAAGCATTATCCCAGTTTCAGAATGTGCCCATCTGTCTGTAGATTCTTGAGAGCCTGTTCGTCCTTGACTTGAGAATCATATGTAGGTATGCCGTGGTCTTGAGATGCAAATAACTGTAGGTAAGTGTATTCTTGATCTTTCCTAAATGCTGGATCACACAATACAGAAAATGCATGAACCTTTTGCCCTTTGTGTCTGTTTTGTGTTGGATTTAACCATCATGTACATGACTGAACTCAACTGAAGACAGACATGGGCTGAGCCATTGGGCAGGGAATTTAACTTCCAGGAGAGAAAACTGATGTATTTTGACATGATGACCCTTTGACGTGAGGGTCCAGAACATAACATTGTAATCTGCTTTAAAACAAGAGAATGTGAGGGAAGAATTTGACTTAGCATAGGGTTTCTTTCCATTTTCCTTCTTGACATTTATTTCATATTAACACTTTTAGCCTCCACCTTAAAATCTAGAGGAAGAAATAATACTTCCTAATATGTCAAAGTTCTTCCTTTCACTAACATTTTGGCATTTTTTTCCTAAGTATACTGATTTTTTATTTGTATTTTAATTACATGAGGTTTTGTTTGTTTTGCTTTTAGGCATTTTGGACACCTTCAATATTTGCCTTCTCTTTTCTGGTCAAGCCTGATTCATGAAATGGAACTAAAGCTGAAAAATCATCTACTTCTTTGTCTGCAAATTTGAGACACGATTGGGATGGTCTTAAGCTCATACAACTAGACTCTAACTGCAGCTATGAGTTCAGACGAGAAGGGCATATCCCCTGCTCATAAAACCTCCACTCCGACCCATAGAAGTGCCTCTTCTTCAACATCCTCCCATAGGGACAGTCGGCAGGTAAGAGAATAGTACCCAGTGCATTTTGTTATTTTCTGTAAATACAGTACCATTAGGATATGATGGGCTTGCTAATTAATTCTGAAATCTTGTTGTGAAGATTTTTATTCCACAGGAAAACTCACTGTTTTCTGTAGATCTGCCTGATGATGCCATGAAGACTCTGCTCTTTTTTTTTCTGTTATTTAGGATCCTTTTTTAGAGTGTAGATGACCAGGAGGGGTGGCTAGGCTAAGCCCTGCTTTCCTCCTCACTGTGTACCCAAAGAGGGGCAGCAATTTCAGGAACTTGAACTCTCTGCTCTCTCTCTCTTTATTCATGGAGAAGGAAAGCGTTGTGAGCCTGCAGAAGGTCTTCTTCCTACAAGTCTCTCCCTGGCCTGCCCAGCACTAACTTCTGTTGGGTGTTTCATGGAATGTGGTGACAGATTCGGGAATTAGGATACAAGTAAAATCATAGTATCAGAGAATTAAGGGCAGTTTAAGAGCTCTGCTAATGCTTAGAGTCAGTAGAGGAAATGAATTATTGTTTCATTATCCCATGGAGCCAATTCTGTCCATTATTTTTGTTTACAGATTTACTTCATTACTACCTCAGTGGCTGTTCTAGCTGCCAAGGCTGTGGGGGGAAGTTAGTCCTATGAATTTTCTTCACTGTCAAAACAGATTGTTGTTTTGCCCAGCCCATGTCTGAGTATTGCTGTTGGCCATTATGACGTTATCTCATGAAAAGATTTTTTGTTGTGTAACTGGAAATTCACAATAAGCAGGTTTACTTAACTATTTATAAAAGTGTTCCTTTTGAGGGACATTCGCTTAGTAAATTATGCTTGCAGGGATTTTCCTCCCTATTTTATGTGTTCAAAATATATTGCCTAATTTCCAGAAGTATGAACATCTGTTATTTTTCATAGTCCATAGCGTAGTCTTGGGTCTTGAGACAGCCAATCCAGACGTGAATTCATTCTTCTAGATGGTGGAAATGCACTGCTGGGGGTGTTCCCTTAGGGAGACCTCAGTCTGCAGACCCTCCCAGCACTCCCTCTCCCATTTCTAGCAGGAAATTCCAGGGTTATCTGTAAGAATCAGAGAATCCTTACATGTATCTCTTTCCTAGGTTCTAAGGCAGATATTTCTGCTACCAGTATTTTGGACACAGGTGTCCTTTGTTCTAGAGTTCAAACAGACATCTTCTGTTCATTAGAAGCAGTTATACATTAACTCAATCTGTGATTACACACAGTTATAATGTTTATTGCATTGCATTCATATAGTAAAAGAAAGTGAAAGTACCGCGAATGAAAACACATTTATATTAAGTAACAACTATATACTGAGATGCTTTCTAAGTTTGCGATTTCAGTTTATCCTTCACCTGCCTCTCTGTCCTTTCTTGTTATGGCTTCTTCCTTTTTCCTTTGCCCTGGGCGTTTCAAATGAAAGACATTTTAAGCAGCCTGGCCTTCCTGGCTGCTGAGGGAAGGATGGGATTGACCCGGATCACCCTGGAGAATTGTGGCAAATGGAAAAGACAGATGATGGCTGTGGAATCATCTGTCGTGCACTCCAGGGCTACCATGCAGAATGACGGGGAGAAACCCAGACCCCGGTCCTTGGAGGGAGTCTGAAGGTAGAATAGGTGACTCCTGGCTGGCTGGTGAATGAAAAGTCTTGTGATGAGAATGAAGTAACGTGTCTGTAAATTGAGACAATGTTCAAATGGTCATTATACTTTGAGGATTTACTTTAGTTTCTGTTTATCTCAGTGGGTTCATATTCTCCCAAATACTCTCTCCTCTGGTTCCTTCCTGCCTCCTGTTTGGTTCCTTCCTGACTCCTGTCTGTTCATCTCTCTCAGGGGAGAGAATAAAGAACAATTAGAATTCTGTTTTTCCCTCCCGATCTCCATCACTTCCTCACATTCAGTATTAACTTGTGGAAATCAGAAAATTTGAGTGATCCTTGGATCTCCTATGATGCGGTGGTTTTTGTATGCACCTATTTTTGTATGTGACTGTTTTCCTAGTGAAGGGATGTGGAGAAAGTGTGATAAATTAGTCTTCCTTGAATGTTACCATTCTCCTGATTTGATGGACATCGATGCAAATGGAGTCCATGCTATTTCTCATATATGGATCATATAAGTAAATGATCTGCACATAGCTGAGAATACATTGATACCTTAATGCACATTGTTTGCCTGTCCTTCCCAAGTTCTAGTTCTAGATCACTAACTGATTGGGAATTTCTACTTAGATGTACCACTACATCTTAAATTTATACATATAAGCGCATTTGCTCTCAGGATAATCATTCTCTCATGGACCCAGGGTCAAAGCCATTCTTTTCTTCTTTGCCTCTCCCACATTCAGTAGGTTGACAAATTTTGTTGATTATTTCCTCTTCATAATGTGACCACTTCTTTCTGTTTCCACTGTCTACTCACTAGCCCAGACTCTCATCACCCCGGCATCCTCCACGGTACTCTGGCCTCACTGTCTCCCTTATGGCCTTGTGAGATTGAATTTCCTTGATATGGCAGATTCATTCTCACAACCCTTCAAAGACTCTTGTTTGCCAACACAATGAAGGCCGGATTTCCCTACGCGGTATCCCATGACCTCCATGATCTGATCCAGCCTCAGCATCCCATTTTCCTCCCACCCTGTATAGTCTTGTCTGTGCATTGTTCCTCAGACTGCCTTGTCCTGTCTCTGCTCTTGTCTTTCCTACGTGGAATTGCCACCACACTTGCTCCACCTGATCTGTCCCTGGGCTTCAAGGACTGGCTCATGTGAATTTTCACTGACCACACAACCCCATCTTGCTCTCTCCCTTCTCTGAACTTTCACAGAACTTTTTGACAACTTTTGACATGTTTATATTTTTTGCCTTTTTTTTTAAAGATTTTATTTATCTATTTGTCAGAGTAAGGGAGAGAGAGAGAGTGAGCACAAGCAGGGGGCATGGCAGGCCGAGGGAGAAGCAGGCTCCCTGCTGCTCAAGGAGCCCCATTGAGACTCGATCCCAGGACCCCGGGATCATGACCTGAGCTGAAGGCAGACGCTTAACTGACTGAGCCACCCAGACATTCCTATATTGTTTATCTTTTTATGTACTGATCTCCTCAACTGTTTTGTAAGCTCTTTTAAGCAGATGACACACTCTAATTCTTCAGGGACAAGCCTTGCACCTCAAATATTTTAATATATCCTAGAGGATATTTTTAAAGACCTGCAATGGTATTAGTCTTGTCTTCTTATGACAAACTTGCCACTCTCCTCTCTCTGCTTCCTTCTTCATAGATTAAGTAAAACAAAGAACATCTGCCAAGCACATGGTAGTAGTAATTGGCTGTCCTTCGTGTGGCCAAATTCTGTAGCACAACAGGTAAAGGAGGGAGAGGAGCTAGGAAGTGAAGTGATTCAGTGCCCCTGTGATTTCACTAAGTGTTTCTTCATCAGCACAAGAGGGTCAAGACTCCATTTAGTATTTAGCAAGTTAGAAGGCTTCAGTAATTTCATTAAATTTCATTCCAGACTGATATTCAGTGTTAGAACATCAAACAAAATTAGCTCTGTGTGTGTGTGTGTGTATGTTTGTGAGAAAGAGAGACACAGAAACAGAGAAATCAACTATGATTCATAAGCTGCAAGAAATATATGCCCTAAATTTTTCAAAAAGGAAATAAAGAGGTTGATTAAGACATCTAGGACTTGCACATAAATCAGCATTTCCAAATGTGTGTGCCAAAGAATGTTTTCCCCTTGAGATGTTGCATGAAAAGAGTTTTATTGTCAAGTAAGAGAAATGCTAAACACAATCTCTTTTTGCAGTATATACATTAATAAATTAAGGACACTGATAAATGCTGCAGTTAGAACTTTAACTGAGCACTTCTAGAATCTAGTAGATTGTGGAACTTTTTTATTCTCCTAAGATTTGGTTGTTAAATATCCACATTCTTCTTTCTGTTAAGAAATTGAAAGATCTGGGAGGCTGGGTGGCTCAGTCTGTTAAGCATCTGCCTTTGGCTCAAGTCATGATCCTGGGGTCCTGGGATGGAGCCCTGCATTGGACTCCCTGCTCGGCAGGAAGCCTGCTTCTCCCTCTGCCTGCCGCTCCCCCGCTTGTGCTCTCTGTCTCCCTCTCCCTCTCTTGTTCTGTCAAATAAATAAATAAAATATTTTAAAAAAAAAAAACAACAAAGAAATTGGAAGATCTAGGAACACTGGAACCCAGATTCTGAATGGGAAACACTAGAGAGGGCTTAGGAGCAGCTTCCCCTTTAGATGGGGCATATACCCTCTGATTGGCCACAGTCCCTACCTTTCCTTATTGTACTTCAATACTTATGTTTCCTGCTTGGCCCCAGAAAACATTTGAATTGCCAGCCCTGATCCCAGATGTCAAGTCAACTGCAGTAATATTGAGATTACCAAGGGTGATCTCCACTTAGACATTAAGAAGGCATCTCAAACTTAGCATGTCCAAGACTGAACTCTTACTTTCCCTCTCAAATCTGCTCCTTCCCAGCCCTCCTTATGTCAGTAAGCAGCAAGGCTGTCATTTCTTTTGGTACAGCCAGAAACTTCACCAGGAGTCATCTTGTGACACATCTTCTCACACCTGCTTCCAAACCGTCAGTGAATCCTATTGGTTCTCCTTTCGGATGTCCCTGGGGTCTGACCACTGCTTCCCACCTCCTCCCCCTCCAGCCTGCTCTGAGCCACTGTCACGTCTCACCCAGACAGACAGACAGACAGACGTGGCCAGAGTCTTACCTGGTATCCCTGCCTGTAAGTCCCTTGCCCGACATACAGGCCATTTTCACCGAGTTGTCAGTGTGATCCCTTCAAAACCTAGGGCGGAACAAGCCACTTCTCTGCTCCAGACCCTCTAGTGGTTCCCATCTGTCTCTAAATAATCCTGAATTGCTGGCCATTCTCTACAACCTCATTCATCATCTGGTTCTGCCGGCTCCCTGATCCCATTTCCTGC